AACGACGGTGCAAGAGGCTTTGGCGAAGAGTATGCTGTGGAGCGATACCGATCGTTGGTCCATCCTCTACGGCCTCTTGATGTACTACCACGCCATCATTCGTCAACAACAACAAGCGCAGGAAGGAGGGGGAGCAGCAGGCTTGCTGGGAAAGGACGAAGCATTGAGACTGGAGAGGCTCGCTACGGAGTACTGTCTGATTGGACAAGGCACCGAAACGCTAGCGGAAGAGATTTGGCACGATGCCTTGCTCGATCAACCCAACAATGTCGCCGTTTGGTCCCACGCTGCCGAGTACAGAGCTCGCGTGGGAGACGTCAAGAAGGCGAGAAGCACGTACAAGATGGCCCTCGCCAGGAATTATGCGGGAGAGAGGGAAAAGGAAAAGTTGGAGTTGATGGAGGAGTGGAACAGATTCGAAATGTGCTTTGGAACGGTGCAGGAGATCGAGGTGGTCAAGGCGAGAATCAGACAGCAGAGGGAAGTGGTGTGGAAAGCATGGGTGAGTTGCGGTGTTCCCTGTGGCGCCGCGATCTGCATTGGCGTGGGACTGAAGCGCTGCGTGCGCTTGTTTCCCAGTACGAATATGCGCAATATCAGGGCACAAATTATACGCAGACCTCGACGCACAACGTGCAGGGGACAGACGATGCTGCGGCACCCGACGCTAATAGCCATGCGGATGGCGCAGGCCGAAAACGTAAAGCGGAGGATGAGGATGCGGGGATGGATGTGGATGCGGCTGGTCCTTCGAGCATGGGCGGACTTGCGACGACTGGCTCGCCTTCCAGACCGGGTGCGCCTCAGTCCACTTCGAGTGGTCGGTGAGTGTGGCTGAACCAGTGGATGGATGGAATCGAGGCTCACACTCTATGCGCACCTTGACAGAGACCGAGAGAACAGTTCAGTCATCGTCTCCAACCTGCCCCTGGATTGCACGTCTGCAGAGCTGGTTCGCTTTTTCCGCACGTGCGGCGAATTGCTCGATCCTGATCTTCTCCCTCGACCTCTTCCATCCGGCACATCGAGCGGACCGACGAGCGCTGCGGCCATGGTCGAGTTTGTGGATCGTTCGAGCGTGCCTGCAGCCCGCACGAGGGATCGAAAGCTGATAGGATCCAACGAGGTCAGGGTCAGTCTTGGATGGGAGTGCACGCTCTTTGTCACAAACTTTGAAGAGGGAACGACGGATGAGCAGATCAAGGCTGCGTTTGAAAGATTTGGAGACATTTACGAGGTCAGATGGCCAAGTAGACGCATCAAGGCCAGTCGGAGATTTTGTTACGTCGTCTACGCTGTGCCGGTGAGTTGTTTGCGCGTTGGCTTGACGTTTTGGCCCGTGCTGAGATGCGTTTGGCCAACATGGACAGGAACACGCCGAAGCTGCCCTTGCGCTCAACGATCAGCCGTTGAATTCGAAGCAATCATCAGCGGTACAAGTCTTGATATCGGACCCCGCACGCAAAGCGCAACGTACAGATGCCCACGCCGACAAGTGCGAGCTCTTCATCACCGGACTTCCTCGGGCCGCTACCGATGAGCAAGTCAGAGCGCTGTTTACGCCGTTTGGAGAAGTGACGGGCGTGCGGGTGCTCAGAGGTCCGAATGGCAAACCAAAAGGCTTGGCTTTTGTGGATTACAAGAACGTCTTGGATGCTCATCAAGCCGTCGCTGTCCTTTCGAAGCTGGAGGAAGATGGTCAGCCAAACGCGCGCATCAATGGCAAACCCATTCACGTCTCTTTGGCCAAAGCTGCTGCATCATCGACGGGCAATGCGCTCTCCAAGAGGCTCACGCCTGAACAGTGCGCTGCTGCTGTCAAGGTGCGACATTTACCCTTTGACGCGCAAGAGGCCAAGATTCAACAATTGTTCGAGAATGTTGCGGGTGGAGTGGGAAGCATCAGCAAGGTGAATTGGACTCCTGGTGCGGAAGGTCAAGGGAAGGCCGTCGTCGTTTGCAAAGATGCGCAGGTGCGTTTGGTCGATGGTCACATGCGCTGCTTGATTTCACGCTGACGCTGACGCTCACTCTCTGCGCCTTGCTTCTCAAGACTGCCGGCTTGCTTGCCCTGCGAAGCACATTGCTCTACGATGGACGACCGATCGAGTTTGTGCCGCTTGGAGCTGATTTCGGAACAGCGCAAACGTCTGGCAAGTCGGCCTTGTCAGCAGCAGTGCGGCCTTTGCCATCGGACAAGGACGCGCCGCACTCCTTTGCACCGAGAGCAGCCCTGGGATTCGCTAGCAGAGCTCGCGGCAGGGGTCGAGGTGGCGTCGGCTTTGGTGCAGCGAGCGCGAGGGGCGCGATTGCGCAGACCAAACAGGGCAGCGGCGTCAAGCCGCAAGATGAGATGAGCGTGGATGCGCCCGCGTCCGCACCCGAGTCTGCGCCCTCGCAAGCAGAGGCGAAAAGTCAAGATCAGTTCAGAGCGATGCTTCGGAAATGAAGCGAGTCCGTCCAGATTGTTCCACTTGCTTGCCATGCCTTTTTCGCTGGCACGCGCGCGCGCGCCAGCATTGGTTGGCGCCTGCCTCTCGATGCTCCTCAGACAATAACCATGCAAAAAGAACGAACATGTACCTCTGTTTTTTGCTCTCCGTCGCCGCCCAGACTCGCGAGCTGCGTGATGTGTTGTGATACGTGACACTTGCCTTGAGATGGGGGGCCTAGATCTGATCCGCCGTACACGGCACAATGCGGCACGGAGATCTGTCGCTGGGCTGAAAGGAGCGCGGTGAGGATGCAGCGAAACGAACAAGCGCAGGGGAATCGACGGAGCATGCATTAGAAAGGAGTCGTATGAGTGAGAGAAGAGAGAAGATGGAGGTGAGGGGGGGGCTTGGAGGGCGAGGGGTGCTGGGTCAAAGCTTATTGTCGATGATCCACTGAAGCGTGATCTCGTGACTCTCTGGGCCAGTGCGGTGAGGGACGATGCCGTGACCTGTGAGTGGGATGAGTTCGCTAGTAAAGTTGGAAGCGGCAGGGTAGAGCATCTTTACGCCGTCTGGAATGGCAGGGGATTGCGATTGACAATCTGCGCCGCAAAAGGGAAGATCGTGATCGCCATTGAGCACCAAGACGGGTTTGGTAAAGTTGGAAGCGGGTGCGGAGATGGAGGCTAGGGAAGCGTAGGCGCCCAGCGTTACAGGTTGCTCCGTCTTGCGAGCCAAATCGATCGATGCGGAATCGGCATTGGACGGGTCGATGAAGTTTTGCACGTTGGACACTTTGCTGGCAGATGCCAACCAGATGCCCGACTTGTCCTTGAGACTAAGCTCGCTCACGCTGTTTGCTTGCGTGTAAGCTCCGCTCAGGATAAAGGTGCCGGTGAATTGCGTGGCGGTGGAGAATCCGGTCAAGACGACACCGTCGATCAGATCCGGACTGCTAGCCGTCACCGCTTGACTTTGGGCAGATCCGTACGAGTGACCAATGGCGACGATTCGAGCGTGCTTCTTACCGCCAATATTCTTCGTCTGCTTGGCTTGCGTCAGGATTTGTGTCAGGATGGCTACCTCGGTAGGAGCTTGCACGGTGTTGAAACCTCCTTTGGATGGCGTTTCTGATTCGCCAGTGCCCAGTCGATCGTAGATCAAGCTAGAGTAGCCGTGAGAGGCGGCATGACGAACAAAGGAGTAGGATTTCTTGTACGAGTAGTTCCAGTATGAAGAATCGAATCCGATGCCGTGCGTGGCGACGAGCAGAGACGAATTCGCAACGGCGCCTCGCTTGGGCTCGCAGTAGTGCGCAGCGATGCGGTACGTGGCGTTGTTGGTGTGCTTGGTGCCGGGCATGTGCGCTGCAGTCCAATTCTTTTGACGCTGCGTAAAGGCGAGCAGGGTGTCGGTGACGTATGAAGCATTGTTGTAATTGTCATCCACATTGACAAAGTCGACTGGGGAGATGAGAGCGCGACAGAGAGTGCGAGGATGGCTTGCATCAGATAATGCACATCGACATTCCACCGTGACCCTCTTCCTACTCACTATTCTGAGCGCTGATCTTGGCGTGGATGGTGACATCCTGGCAATTGACATTATCCAGACCCAAGGGTCCCGCTTTGGAGGCCTCGTTCAGCTCTGGAGTGGAAATCGCCTGGCCTGAAGAGGTTGCATTGCTAGGGCCAGGTGCGATGACTGCAGCACTGGCAAGCGACGCACCAAGCGTCAGTGCCAATGGCCAGAGTGTGAGTGAGCGAGCAAGCATGATTGCAAAATGTTTGTCGTACTCGATCAATGAGTGGATGTGATGGGGGAGGAGTGCGTGGGCAGAATAAGCACATATGTGATCGGTCTTATACCTTGACTCGCAGCAGGTGCTGCATGTGGAGCTGGGAAGCCATTGCCGTTAGCGGGACCCGTAGGCTGCAACACATTCCCTGCCTCCACCTATGCCGGCCCTCGCTAGCGTGAACTTGAGGCCGGATTGACGGAGCTTGAAAGTGCAGCTGCATGGACGGAATCGCACGCACAAGCATGGAAATCACAGATGAGATCAGGCCACGCATCGACAAAAGGGCGGCCCGATGCGTAGTCTGGCAGCGAGCGTATTCGCCATGGGTGTGCTGCGGGGTTCAGACGCTTAAGCGTGTGGGCCCTTTGGAAGTGTGTAGATAAGCAGCGGAGAAAGGTCTGAAAGAGGAGGCAATTAAGATGCCGATGTCTCACTCCTTTCCCTCTATTCACTGGCGCATATCCACGAATAATGCCGGCCGGATTGCCGCGCGCGGCGGGGGGGCCAAATGAGATTGAGATTGAGATTGAGGGCGAGGGCGAGGGCGAGGGCGAGGGCGAGGGCGAGGGCGAAGTGCAAGCATCAGGTGGAGGCAGCGGTGCTTGCGGCCCCTCTGAGCTTGGCTGGCAGTAGCGTGAGCTAGGGTAGGGTACTGCAGGTTGAGTACAGTATGACGAAAGTGCCTGCTGATGGGCAGGGGCTACATACAGTAGTTGAATGACTGGCGACTGGCTATGCAGGCTATAGCGTGCGTACCGCTACGTTTTGTCGGTCAAATAAGCAAGATACGCACCGCGCGACTCTTGCCTGCACAGCACGCCAACGATACACTCACCA